GCCTCAAAACGACATCATTTTGGGTTCAATGTAGATAAGTTATCTACATTGACTGTAGAGAAAGCGAACCCATATAAAATATGAGTTCATTTTTTCTAAAGTTATTTTAGATTACTTTGTATAATGTTCATTGAAATTACATAGTTTTTGAACATAAATCATGGTGTGTTTGTAATTTTAATTTATTTCATGGTTATAATAGTCTTTAGCATTCTAATTATTAATTTTTCAATCTCATAACAACGTCATTTAGGTGAACATTAGACAAAATTATTTAAAGATACTTTTTCGCATAAAAATATTAAAGACTAAAAAACCTTCAAGCATCCATCGCCACGGTAACACCTTTATTGTTTACCCAAAAAAAAAAAAAAGAATTGATATTTTTTATGTTATAAGAAATAATTTAATTTCCTACATACAGATAAAACTGTATAGAGTCATGTGAAGAGAAAAGGGAAAAAGAAAATATAAGTTCTATATATACGTGTAGAAAATAAAATTATATATTATAATATGATAAATATTAATAAAAAAAAACACCTTTATTTGGTATGTCTGTCCTTTGCTTAAAAATGATGAAGCATCTCACGAGGATTATAAAACACCAGTCACGGACGGACCCTCACCTGAACGGATTTTGGAAAGTGCATTCACATGGCATCATTGGCTATTCATTAGAATATCCATTTGAGACACGGACTTCCAAGCAGCATTTGCCTCACGTATAATAGGAAGAACAGCATCCACTACTATCACCTTTCGATCATCAGGAATAGCATCATAGCAATTTTTCAACAGCTTCAAGCAGTGTGCATCCCTCCAATCATGAAGTATCGACTGTAAAATTTAGTCACCATACATTTTCATCCACTGAATAAAAACTTATCAAAAAAACATATAAAAAAAAAAATTGAAAAGAATAAGAAAATGTAAAAGATCAATGTGGGTGCAATACTGCCATTTCCAAACACTTCACTCAGGGAAAAGCTGAGGTGGGTGCCCCGTGCAAATCACTTTTGTGGTCAGGAGGTAGCCTGTAACAATCGTCTATTGATGACATTGATTTTTTTGTACATTCCTATCGCATATAAGGCCCAACGCATCAAGTTTCTCTTCTTACAACACGAGAGAGTAATAAACTTCTAGTTTATTTAGTATTTACAAAAGCTTATTAAGGAAGCCTTTACAAAAAATTATTTCCCCCAATACTATTCCCAAACATGCCGAAGATGAATTTTTCAAGGGTTATGTTATAGTTTTATAGTTTATTTTTTTCTTTAATAAAATGGAACTTTGTTAAGTGATGAGTTGTATTTTTTACATCGTGAAATAAGGCATCAAGCTATACTACTCGTCAGGGTCCATAGCTCAGTGGTAGAGCATTTGACTGCAGATCAAGAGGTCACCGGTTCGAACCCGGTTGGGCCCTTTTTTTGAGTTCATATTTTTCTTCCCAAAGTAAGTGGGGAAAGAAACCTCATGTTTGGTATGCAGTATATGATAAGATATGATAGTATACGGCTTGATTGTATAAAAACTGATTAAATTTTAATATTATCCAGCGTTTGACATGGTATTGTATAAGATAATATTATCTTTTTCTTTTTTTGAAAACTATAAGATAATATTATCTAGTATAATACTAGATAGAATAAAATAAACATTTTTAACAAAAATATCTTTTAATAAAGAATTTATATTATTCTTCCAAATATGTCATATGATATTAATTTTTATAAAAATTAATGATCAGTGTTTAAAAAAGTTATTAATTTTTATAAAAATAAATTTTTTCAATATTTTAAAACATTATATATTGAACTTTTTTTACTTTAATATATTAATTCTTGAAAACTACACTGGTTAATACATCAATTCTTTATCAGGTCTAATCTCATCTCCATATGTCTGATTAAATTATATATTATTTTGATATATAAAAAGATTCTGCTGTATAAACTTATATTATACGATGGTCATAACAAATAACTAAAAATATCATAATGTATATTATAAGCTTATACTATCAGACTTTATATATCACATCAAACAACCCGTTGATGAAAAGAGAGTCCGCGAATTGATACATAGTTTGGTCATCTAAAGTAAATCCTCAAACAAAGTATTATTATTGTAAATCTTTTTAAAACTATTGTAAACTGAATTTAGAGTGTTGGGAAATGGAAATGAAGAAGTAATTAGGGACTTTGACCAAAGTAACACCTTTTGACTAATATTTTACGCGTATGCCACCTTACATTTCGAATTTTCCAAAATGCCACGTTTCAATCCCGCTACACCACCCAGCGATATTGTCAGATGACATGTGACGGTCAGCCATGGTGATCCATTCCCGCTGGTATGACAAGCTAGAATGGCTTGTCAATCAGACACTGTAAAGTTCTGAAAAGTTTGTCCACGTGTCATGTGCTCCCCATTCGTGCTGGTCAAAGAAGCTAGATTGGTACAGATCGTATGACTTCCTGACTTGTTGATGCATGTCAGACACGTGGCGGCTTCTCCTTATTTGCGCTTGTCAACGTAGCGGGAAAAGGCAATTACACTTCTATATAATCCCACTCTCCAACCCCACCACCGACTTTCAACGTTCCAATTTTTTTTTACTCACAAAACACTCTCTCTCTCTCTCTACGAACCACAACTGCAGTGGCAAGGTTAGTTAAGTTTTTATATTTTTTATATTTCTTTTAAGGGTTTGGTGTTTGTCATTTTAAATGACATAAGTTATGTCATTTGAGGAGAGAGATAGACACAAAAAAGCAAAAATCATGGGAGAGAGAAAGTGAGTGATTTTTTTAATTTAAAATTCAAACTTTCTATATCTATATCTCTCTTAAAATGACATAACTTTCTGTCATTTAAAATGACAAACACTTTTCCCTTCTTTTAATATCAGCATGTGTTAAATGTTTAATAACCCTAGGATAGGTGACATTAATAATTTGATTAGATGAAGTAGTAGTATAAGTTAATTTTGTATTGTAATTAATTATTAGAATTAGTAATTAGTTTAGTATTTGATTTTGATATTGTTGTTAGTATTAGCATTTGTTAATAAAAAAGTATAGGATAAACATATAATTATTATTTTTATTATATAAATTAGTAGAATAAGTAAGTTTTAGGGTAGTTAATTTTTGTAATTAATAATTAGGATATAATAATTATATTTATATTGTTGTGATTATTAGTATTTATTAATAAAGAAATTATAGGATAAGAGACATTGTTAATGTTAATTATAATAGTTAGTTTAATATTATTTAGGGATTGTTAATTATCGTAATTAGTAATTAGGTTTTGTATTTATATTTATTATTTTATTAATTAGTACCATTTGTTAATAAAAAATTATAGGATAAAAATTTAATTATTTTTTATTATATAAATTAGTAGAATAAGTAAATTTCCACACCAAAAAAAAAAGAATAAGTAAATTTTACGGTTTAAAATTTTTGTAATTAGTAATTTGGGTAGTATTTTTTTAATATTGTTGTGATTATTAGCATTTATTAATAAACAAATTATAGGATAAGAGACATTGTTAATGTTAATTACAATAATTAGTTTAATATTATTTAAGAATTGTTAATTATCGTAATTTGTAATTAGGTTTTGTATTTATATTGACTATTTTTTTATTAGTAGCGTTAATAAAAAATTATAGAATAAAAATGTAATTTTTTTATTATAGGGGGTGCTGACACGAGTCGTAAAAGTACGCACCAAACCAGCTAGGTAGCCCAGCGCGATTAAGGGGGTGCTGACACGTGTCTGAAAGTACAACAAATCTAGCTTGGTTGACTAGCGCAAATAGTGAGAGGGTGACACGTGGCCTGCTTTTCAGAAAGTACAACGAATATAGCTGGGCTGATCAGCGCGAATGGTGGGAGGGTAACACGTGTCTTGCTTTTCAAAGTGTGCAGACTGGTTGATTGACAAGCCATTCTAGCTTGTCATACCAGCGGGAATGGATCACCATGGCTGACCACCACGTGTCATCTGACAATATCGCTGGTTGGTGTAGCGGGATTGAACGTGACATTTTGAAAAATTCGAAATGTAGAGTGACATACCGGTAAAATATTAGTCTACTTTGTTCAAAGTGCCAAGTAATTAGGCAAAGCAGCTGTCGGACAATAATTTGATTATTATCAGTCAGAAGAGGAAAACAGACCCAACACACTCTTTCTGTCGGACAATTAGTGGACGGGAATATTGTGTTATGTGGACCTTTGTCCTATAGTGGAGAATGGAGAATGGGCCGTGCAATGGGCTTAATCCACTGGTCCAAAACATATACATAGTTAAATAATAATCATAATTAATAAAATAAGTACTTCTCTATCAATTAGTTAATGGGCTTTAATTTTCTATTATTTTCTCATAACTCAATTAGTGGTAAGCTTCACATGTGTTAAAAAAAAAAATACAGGCAAATGGAAGTATCATAACATTCCCTTAGTTATTACCCATAAATTAACTAAAGAATATATCACTTGTACAATATATACCACGAGAAAAGTCAAGAAGTCCTAAAGAAAAGAAAAACCTCGAGTTAGAATTTTATTGTATTTTTTAACTTTCCTTTCGTGGGTTAATACCAAAAGGGGGAAACAAAATAACGAACTTTGAAATGTCCACAAAACAAGTGGAGTGGTAAGCTAACATGTCTCCTATAAAGAGCCGAGGTATGCTCTAATGAACTGACCAAGTCTATATTGTTGCCATGAACTCCATTTATAAATAGATCAACCATTCAACTTCCTCCGATCTCTCTTCTCAACTCTTTACTCTCTCTTTCGTAATATTTATTCTTGGTCAAGGTACGTGTTTTGTTTGTTTCAATGCTCATAATCTGCATTGCATACCTGCCATTTCTTTTTTATTTGGTATTTGTTTCATGCATTAAGTTTGACACCTTTTCTGGGTCATTTTGCCATCCGTATTGCTTTTTCTATGTCATGTCTTTAAAGATGAGTCAGAATGCTGAAGAAGCTCAAGACAAACGTGCTGTTCCCCGTTTGAATGAAAGGATTCTTTCATCTTTGTCAAGGAGATCAGTAGCTGCCCACCCTTGGCATGATCTTGAAATTGGTACTGTTGTTGATATTATTATTGCCTTTTCATATTTATCAGCTTGCCATTTGCATTTCCATTACAAGATTTAAATCATGTTCTTGATTTTAATATGCAGGACCTGAAGCTCCCTATATTTTCAATGTTGTAAGTTTTCCACTTCTGCTTCTGGAAAGAATACTTCTTGCCTCATTTTATGCCACCACCTATTACTGTTACTGGAGAAAAAAACATGTCCAAAATGAGGCAATTATTTTCAACATTTACTATAGAGAGAGTCTATGCCACTAGTGAAATACTGTAGTAGGTGCAGATTTTATTATTATTGTTGAGTTAGGTCCCCAATAACTTATCTTCTCGTAATATAGTATTTGTGTAACGCCTGTAATTCCATTCTTGAGCGGAGATTTTCTAGTAAAGTGGTGTTTCTGCTTGTTCAATGGTTAGTTGCTTCCTGCAGGTTGTGGAGATCACTAAAGGAAGCAAGGTCAAATATGAACTTGACAAAAAGACTGGATTAATTAAGGTATAAACCAATTGCATGCAGCTTAAGCTTTTGGGAGAGGTTTCATGATATGACACCATTAGAATTCGATGCTTATCGCTCCTATTTTTCTAATAAAAAAGGTTAAATTCTCACACAAGATAAAATAAAATAAAAAAAATAGACTTGTAGCATTGTACACGCTTCAAAATCAATTGCTACCCATTGAAATGGAAGTCTCACGGTGCAATAATTTGAAACCTATTTCACAGAGAACTCCACTGCCAGATGGTTTTTTCCTTACCGATCTATCTTTAGATTCTTCTTCTTCTTACCATCTGAATGATGCTCAGGTTGACCGGGTTTTGTATTCATCCGTTGTTTATCCTCATAACTATGGTTTTATCCCTCGCACACTCTGTGAAGACAATGATCCGATTGATGTCTTGGTGCTCATGCAGGTAAATTATTATCATTTCAAATTCATATATTTTATACAAGAGGCATTAAATCCTGTTTATTATATTCTATAGAGTAGCACTGGAAAATAACGCCCCAGTCACGCTAATATTAACACATAGTAATGCTAGTTTTGAAAAATCATATCCATTATATTTACAGAGTTCCCTCTTTTTTTCTTTTTTTTTGGTACATACAGAGTTCCCTCTTTTATTAGCTTTAAGTTAAAAACTGCTGCTGAAATGTAGAGACATGTAGATTATATTGATGGAAAACACATCACCATTTGAGTCCTCTGTTAATCACTCAGATTATTATCATAATCTGAATTATCTTCACCTTCATTAAAAAGGCAAAGACGTCAAATCAACTAAAATGTTGCATTAACCATAATTTCCAAAGGGGTGGCCAAGTGCACCTGTCTCCCACCAATGTAGAAACTAGGGTCGGGTGACATCAAAGTATTCTATTCACCAATGCCTATTTTATTTAAGAATTTCTCCTATGTTTGATTTGATCTATATATCAACAAGGCAATCCATAGTTAGCTAACTGAATCACTGACGTGGATAGGAGCCAGTCGTTCCTGGCTGTTTCCTACGAGCAAGGGCCATTGGACTTATGCCCATGATTGACCAGGTATCTATTTGGTTTGTTAGCCAATAAAGAGATTCCCACTTCTTACTTACCACACATTTATTTATAATCACATAAATAACAAATCGTGACATTGACACAGGGAGAGAAGGATGATAAAATTATTGCAGTATGTGCTGATGATCCAGAGTATAAGCACTTTACTGACTTCAAAGAACTTGCACCTCATCGCCTCACTGAGATCCGACGCTTCTTTGAAGACTGTATCCATAACAATCTTAATTCAAGAATTTACAGCCTAAGTTTCTTGAAGTTTAGTTTATATTTTTCTTTTCACAAATTGAGTGTTGTTTCTTTAACATATTGCTAAGACAAAAAGAATGAGAACAAGGAGGTAGCAGTTAATGATTTTCTACCTCCAAGCACTGCTGTTGAAGCCATCCAGTACTCCATGTCAGTATATCTCGAGCAACTTCGTGTAGCGAATTTAAACTGACTTTTAGACAAATAGTTTATGGTAAATAAAGATAACATTTCAGTAACAAAATTCTGTCAGTCTCCTAGAATGCGCTGCTTTTGTTTTCACCTTTTTGGCCATACCTCTCCTATCCCATGTTTATGTAACAAATATTCTGCAATCTACTTTAATGTCGTATCTCTGATTTGGTGCAGGGATCTTTACGCGGAGTATATTCTGCACACCTTGAGGCGATAGACAAGAATGCTATCCTCCAATCTCCATTAATCAGAATAAGCCGCATTCTGCACACTGTTTCTTTATTATGTTTTGATCAACCGTATCTATATATTTTTTATTTTTTATATTTTGTATTTACATGTTTGTATTCTCATAATTAATTGTTTCCAAACATGGATAACATTCCTTTTACTATATTTAGTAAAAAATAACACTTTTACGCTATCCTTACCTTTATATTTATTTCCACCGTAACTTATATTTTTTCATTTTTGGGCAAGGAATATGTACTCTGGAACACAGAAAATGAGCTCCCTCTCACAATTGAAATGTTTTAACTGTAACAGTTTCCAAGGCATGATTTGGCAATATGTTTTCTATCAATGTTGACTCGACTTATTTGTATTGTAACCTTCAATCCGGACTCTAAAGATGTCAATTATCATACTTCATAAGGAAAAGTGCAATTTGATTAGCATAAGACACTTGCACTCTAACTACATGAATTATGTTCGCAATATGGACGAATCTGAAAAGGTTAAATAAGACTGCATGGCAGCGTCAACAGAATACCGTTAAAGAAAGCTACTACAGCCTTCAATGAAAAATTCTGGTCCGCAAAAACTTGTTTTATGTACCTCCCCACTCCTATCCTATGTTACAAAATACTAGCCCTAGTGAGTGCTCGTACACATTAGATTAAGGGTCAGCTTCGAATGCTAAAATTAAAGGAAGAAAAAATGCAACACATATTATACCTTATCTATTTTTATTAGCGGAATCATAAATTATTAGGCACATTTTTGTTTTTCAATTTACCGGCACATGGTGGTTTGACCAAGATGATAATTCTTGGTTCAACACCTGATGCACACGAATGATTAAATGTTTTGACAAGATAGAATGTGAAGGACAAGCATTCCATCTTTCAAGAGTACAATTTATTTAGTAGTTCCAAGAGAAGAACAGCAGCTGAGTCTTTGGCCTTCTTGACGCTTGGCATTGGCTCTCCAACACATTCATCCGTCCATCCTCTATCAGTAGTATTGACGCGCACTGCAAATGTAAACCTCTTTGCATGTGCTGGACCACCCTCACTCACGCACCTACAAGTTTTATTATAAAAAATAAAATAAATAAGGCCATTTAGCTCCAATTACAATCCATTCACGACACTATATAAGTAGCTTTTATAATTCCTTACCGGTAGAATGGCATAGGCCAATTTCTTCGCAAACATATATCATTTAATGTTTGTCTTGTAAATGTGTGGTTTGCATTCTTTTTCCCGTTTTCATCGTTCTGCTCCAGAGTTTTTGCCACTTCCTTCTCTTTCAAAGCAGCAAGGGCATTTCTGGCAGCTAACTTCTGTGCCATTTTTTTCTGTGGATTTTGAGCAGCCCCTACTTGCACCCCATCAATAAATACTTCTACAGTGGCCAAATTCCCCATACGACTCGCTCTATACTCTAAGCCTTCGGCCTGCTGCTGACATCGCTCTTGTAGCTCACGCACAGGATGCATTGGCAGAGTCTCTGGTGTAACCATAGGATGCAAAAGAGGCTGAAAAACCTGGGGAAATTGCAAGACCAAGAATATTCTCCATCAATTTCCCTTTTTTTTCCCATTTTGGCGCAAGAAATAGTCTATATGTATAAAAGCTAGGCACTAACCTTCCAAACAACAGAAGTATCCCTCCCACTGTCAAGAAAAATGGCACCAGCAATAGATTCAACAATGTCACCAAGGACCTTGGGAGCTTTGCAGTCTCCCAGGCCAAATGAGTTAAACCCTGGCTTCGACAATTCATCTTGAACTTCCTTCACAAATTCTTTAATCTGTAGACAACCAAAATGCAATGTCAGAAGGACCCCAAAAAGCACCAACTTGTGCCAAGAAATTAGGAGTATTAGGGATAGGTTACATGACCCATCTCCAAGTAATAATAAAAGTCATTAGAAAGAAATAAAACCTGTTTTTCTAGAGCACTGGACCCATGTCGAAGATGCACGTGAAGATTGTGCTTAACTGCAACACGTGCAAAATTTTCATTGTTTACAGCAGCAGCCCTAAGGTCAGTCAGGCGTCCTGGTGGAAGATCTGTGTAAGTGAAAAACAAATGCCTGGTGATAAGATGGTCCAAGACAGCATCACCAACAAATTCCAACCGCTGATAACAGGACACTCCTGAAGATGGTCTGGAGGCATGAGTTATGGATTCTACCAGTAGCCCCCTGTCTTTAAACTTGATATTCAAAGCACCTTCTAAAACATCAAAATCAACACTCCTAAGTATGCTGTCTGGAACATTAAATGGCCTTCTTGTACACTCCATCTCATCAGGATCAAATTCTATTTGAATACCAACCCATTTCATAAGGTGGTTAGCAGCAATCTTACCACCTTGGACATAATATATCCCAATCAGTGCTTCCACAACATCAGCAAGAGTCTTGCTGGACAGAACTCTGTACGAACTTGAATCACTCTCAAGTTCTCCGTCTTCCATTTCATCCTGATATCCATCAGTATGACACTCCATCCTCTCAGTCTTAGAAATGGATTGCTCCTGGTCAAATAACGATGACTCCCCATCCTTGGTATCCTCGTCAAAGACAGGCAGCACCCCAGGAGCGGCCCATCTAGATGGAGCAAAGCGATCTGCTTGAATATATGATTGAAGCCCTTTACTTAATGCATACTGAAATAATACCATGTTACTGACCATTTGTTGCCTCATCCTAGTAAGCTGGCCTTCATGTTTCTGTGGGTATTTCAGAAAAAGAAATCGACTAACAACCCATTTCAGGTAAGCATCTCCTAGAAGCTCTGCTCTTTCATAGCAGAATGTCTCCTGGCAAGAGGCAGCAGTCAAGGCTTCCAAGATCTGTGTTCAAATAGAAGGCATGGGTTAACCACGGAAACTAGAACTAAAAGCTAAATGCCTTGAACAGAGAAACTACCTTTAAAGACTGGACAGGATACTTTATCATATTCTTAAGCTGAATTGCAAGTAGCATACTTTCAACCCTCCTCATTATTGAAGGCAACCTCTGGGCACCACGAACAAGCGATCCGGGCAGTGGGTGTACAAGGCATAGCTCAGGAGGAAGGAAAACATAATAAGTCTTGTCATGATTCTCTTCAGATTCATTTTCATATGCTACAATGATACAACATTTCCCATTAACCAGGAATATACAAATTTGCTAAGCAAAACAATTAAAGGATAGGAATCATGAGATCACACCTTCACTGTGTTCAAATCGAGGGGATAGAAGATTCTTGCAATATGATACACCACGCCCTCTTATAAGAGGTTGCTGCTTGTATATCAAATCAACCCCATACCTATACCAAACCAATAAAAGAGATTCAGTAGCCGTATGCATCCTCAGTTGTGCAAGAAGAGACGAAAAGCTTCTCTAATCTGGAAGGATCAACAAGCTATTGCCACCTTCCATGAGACATGGTTGATAAAGCCCTCACGATTTAGAGGTGACAACAGAAGTTTCCTTCACAGATTAAGATTAGCTCCCTGTTCTTCCTGTATATTGGAGGTGAACCGTGGTTAACAAGTCACCAATAAGAAATATCAAGATACAGAGTATAAAAAAAGTAAAGAAAAATGGGATAGGGAGGCTTGGCTGGATGGAAAAAAAAAACCTTTAAAACAAAGGGGGTTAAATAGAAGACTATTTTAATCTAAAAGAGAATGCACATCATACTTTTGCTTGTAGTAATCAGCATAGGAACTGTACTCCAGAGGACCAAGATAACCTTCTTTCCTTGGGAAGGAGTTCTCTGCTGACATATCATAGCGTATTGAATCAACATAAAACCTCTTCCCTGAGTGAGCAGCAGTTACAATTTTCCCTACCAGATCCTCTGCATTAGTACAGGTATCTGCCATCATCAATTTTCCTTTGGTAGTCATATTGATTTGCTTTTGTGTTTGCATGGCATCTCTGTCAGGAACCAATCCTGAAGCTTTTACCACATCAAACTGAGCCACAGCTCCTCTGATTCCATAGGTTGGATGTGATTTTTGCCCAAAAGCCATGCCATGACGCAATTTCCCAAATCCATATTCCCTTCTGTCTCCACCTAATGTTCTCTCATTAGTGCCAAGGTAAACATCTGGTCGAGCTCTCTGGAGGGGATTTTTCCATGCATCAGCTCCAATTATTGTCTCAACCAGATGCCAGTCAATTTGGTTCATAGGATCTACAGAATTATCGCCAACCATTGGGACAAACAAATATGCTTTTGCAGGATCCCAAGGAGTTGTCGATGGTTCAACATCCACATCCAAGACAATGCTCATTAATCTTACATGAAAGCTTTTCAAGGATGCCAACTGCAAGTGATAGAAAAATAAGTTTCATCTAGGTATCAGGAACTAAAATTTTTAACAGTTATAAACATTTAAAACAAGTGTAGACAATGGTTAATATGTCAACCTGACTCTCAGTAATATCTATCGACCCTATAAAGACAAGAGATGCCTTTGTAGTCACAGTTCGAGCGATAAATAGATCCATTGACATCGATAACACCTACAAAAAGAAATATGATCAGAGGGAGCAAATGCATTTATAATACTCAAATAGAAACTAGATGCAGTAGACAAATAAAAATTACTACCTCTGCATCCAGCTCATTGCCAAAAAGCACTACAAAATCTGAAACTTGAGTCAAGAACAGATCCTTTGAGTGGCCTACATTTTCACACTTCACAGCATACATATAGAGATGAAGCACTTTGGAGTTGTTGCAAGCATCTTTTCCAGATAAGATCCATTCTCCCTGAAAATCCAAATAGCTTTAGCAGGAATGGATATTTCGGGGCAAGGGAAAAAACTCAAGACAACAACCATCATAGATAATCCTTTTATGTAACTAAAGACCAATAGAAAGCATAGGATCTTTATCGCACGTAAAGATTTGGTGCACTTTCATTTCCATAGGAGTATCCTGTTCTTTTCCTTATTGGGAAATACTAGGATTGCATTTAT